CTGCATGCATTCCAAACTTGAGTAACTTTGAAGATTTATTTAGGTTGAGAAGTAGCACACCTTTAATGTGTATAGAAAGCATTGTCTTTCGTCTGCATGCATTGAGACAGTTGAATTATTTACACAAACATTGTATTCTATTACAATGTAATCTATGACGAGTAATAGATATGAAACATTCAGTTCTATTTTCTTTGGCTCATACTTTTCAAATTGTTTTTTAATATTTGACCAAAAAAGAATCGTATTCAGTTTTTATACCTTACAAAATTGAATACATACCATTTTAAAGAAACTTTAATGTTTCAAGTACCATTTTAGAATTTTTTTATTGGTGCTATAAACATTTTTCCTTTATAAAAATATATGCGCCAATTTCTCGTGGAATTCTGATGAGCAAGCTAATATGATCCTGTGAGCTATTGATTTAGCCCATATATAGAATACTATAGAAAACTTATAGCTATTGCATGTCTGTGTCTCCTTAACAAAAACGTAGTAGCTCTCCAAATATTATACTGGTAATTGACAGACCGGAGAGCTATGTACAGTGCAACCCATTGAAATCAAAGTACTCAGAAGTACAGAGAGCCGGGCTCATTTACAGTGTAGAATGGATTTCTTACATGAATCACGTTCATATTCTGATGAAAAAATTATTTTAAAACTATCAATATAAATGATAAGACACTGACAGCGAATTTTTCAATCCTAATACCACGGTCCGACTTTGTCAGAATCAGAATTAATCTGGTACCGCAGCTGAATGTAAACAAACAGGCCAGTCTGGTTCCCTCTCTTGCTTTACCTCGTATGTGTAGAGAACTACGGTAACATTGATTATCAAAAATCCTTACGCTAATGAACTATATATGTTCTTTGACTTATGAAGTTTTCAAAGTCATTACTACTAATATTTATTTTATATAGATAAAATTTTGTTTTATTTTTGTTGCTTTATTTAGCGTTTGTATTATCTCAAAAGCGGTTGAGAGTAAGAACTCTATTTTTGCACGTAACTTTAAAATGGCGACTATGGGGTCAACATCCTGCCTTGAACTGGATTACATAAGCCGGCAATTTCTCTCTGAGCAATAAGCCCGGCTAAAAACTGACAAAGTGTATTTATTGCGCACGAAAAAGTGCGCTCTTTCTCGATTTATTTCTCCATGATTTTAAAATAGTCCCTCAAAATATTACTAACCGTGTGTTTCTAACGTATTCTTTGATTGTTTCCACAATAAAACATTCTTTATAATTGTTGTTAATAGCGCTTCGTAACTAAAATTGAGATTATCGAAAATTTCTTCTATTTAGGCCAAAAAAAAAATATGTGTGTTTCCGGTTACATGTCCCTCAAAATTAGGGTAGGTAGGTAGGCAATTACTTTTTTTTTTACTTTTACTTTTTATTTTAACTGAACATTATATATTTGATTGTTTTTTAGGTAAACTGTATATGATATTAAATATTAACAAGTAGTATTTTGTTTTCTAGTGGTAGGTAGCAGAACCAATTGCAAGAAATTGATTTACAGAAAAAGACATTTGAATTTTAATCACAATCTAATAATGAAATTTTGTCACATTTTATCAAAAAAGTAAAATAATTAAGAATTCAAGATTGTTTTTCAGGCCTACTTCTATCTCGACCTCATAATCATTACATGTAAAGACATAGTTAATATCCATTTCTTTCACGGCCAATAATGTCAGAGTTAAACCGCCGTTGTTAGCTTCAAAATTATGACTATCTCTAAATAAATTTCCCACAGTCCAGTGCCAAAGAAAGTTATATATTGCAGTAATTTCGTAGGAGCGTGGACATTTCTTGAGCTTAAACCCAATGACAACATGTGGTGGACTTGGAGTTGAGTGATGCACATAAAAAATAAGTGATGCAATACATCTGGGGCCACAATTTGACACACTAGCCATATTCCTGGAGTGTTTGCCTAAGTGGCTGCCCCTTACAGCGTTTTAAATGAATTGGAGTGCATTTTAAAACAGAACTAATCATGTTAATAGGGGTCCAACAATTCTTTTATGCTATGTATTATATATCAGTGGAATCGTAATAAATTAAATTTTTCTCATCTATTTACAGAATTTTTATTTTAATTTTCTATAAATAAATAATTCAGGTGAAAGCAGGTGTAAATTGCAAAATAGATATTTTAAACAAATATGCCAAAATTGTCTTTAAAAACTATGAAATTTATGTGAGATGTTATAATTAATGATTAAATTGTTATTTATTATCCATTTTATAAGTTTAATTCCTCAGAAATCAATAATTGTAGTGATACTACAATGTCAATGATCTCGCCAACAAATTTTCAAATTTGTGTGATAAAACTTGATTTCTAAACGTTTCGAATATTTTAATGATCAAATTCTATTAAAATAATTATTTTCTACACCTTTACATTTATAACTATGCGTAAAATGAAAGATATATCTTCTGAATTTCTGAGAAACAGGTAACGAAATCGGCACTGCGCGGTCCCGAATTTCACTAAATTTTCGTATCTTATATTGAAGTATATTACACGTGTAGATCATTATAATTATCAAACCTTTCAAGGAATATGTAGTAGATAGCTTGAATTTCATATAATGCTTTACTGGATGAGGAAATATTGCGTATTGACTGAGTTATATGCTCAAAAAACATCGTAAGTAACAGTCCGCCATTTTGAATTTTGGTGGGACTTTCCGAGATTCTTTAATCTGTAGTATGATGCAATCATATATTGTTAACCTGCAGGTGGCCACCTGTGTTCTGATAATTTATAAACAAGCGGTAATTTCAAGTCAAATCAACAATGAAAATATACACACGTGTCAACATCGATTTGGTCAAAAGTCTCATTAAGGGTTGGATGCTAAGTGTCAAAGTCGTCATTAAAGGGTAAAGGAGGGAACGGTCTAAGGGGAAAATAGCTATTATCTACGCATGTATAATCTTAAAATGCTTGAAAAGACATTTTTATTTATCCTTTACAAGTGCCTTTTTAACTGCGCGCGCTTTGAAGACTGTAGTTTTAGAACAAATTACGGTACGTAATCCGGATTTGTAATAAAAAGTGCTAGGGTCGGCGTGTAAAATCAGGGTCGATCGAGTAACCGGAAACACAGGTATTTTTTTTTTTGGCCTTACTAGTAGTCTGTCATGTTAGTTTGCAAGATAATTCGGTCGAATGAGCTTCGTGCAGATGTCAACAACAAGAAAACCTTATAACAGGGTAAGGATATTTTAAATTAAGTTTTTTTTTTTTTTTTTTTGCTATTGAGGTAAGAATTTGGAAGAATTAATCCAGAATTAAGCACAACTTTTTGTGAGCAATTAATAAATATACAATTTTTCTAAGGGTGGAACTGAAGCTCACCGGTCTCTCAATATATAATTATACAGTTCTGCAGCTATAAAAACATCTGATGAACTTTTTTGTTTGTCAATGAATTTTGGTAGTTGAAAGTGCCCCCTCCCCCAACTGAAAATGTATGGCTGTGCCCCCCCCCCCCCCCCCACACACACACACTGAATTAAATTGTAAAGTTGTGATTCAAAATTAACATCATATCATGGCTGCATTTCATTTTCGGAATTTTTGGTAATTATCAAATTTTCATTTCCGACATTTTGTAGTTTTCATTTCCGACATTTTTCAAATACATATGTAGTATAAATAAAGTAACAGATTTGATAACTTTCCTTATGAAAATTTAAGTAATAAATTATCAACAAATCATCGAAATTCAATTTTGTAAATCTACTAGTGACTTGGACATAAGTATACTGCAATCACTGACATATAATGTAGCGTACGTTAATTGTGTTGAAAAAGTTTTATGCGCATTGAACTCCTTTAACTATAGACTTTGTCCTACATGTATGCATATATGTAAAGATGTTTTTGTTGGGATTATTTTGTCAATACTTTGGTATAAATACATTTAAAATTCCATTTTCTTTTACTTTCTAAAACATTGAATTGTCGCACAGGTAAATTCCGGAAATGAAAAAAAAATTATGTCGGAAATGAAAACAAAAAATGTTGGAAATGAAATAAAAAATTGTCGGAAATGATATGCATATTTCCGGAAATGAAATGCAGCGCATATCATAGTCCAAATTAATAATAATCTAAATTAAAATTATCTAAAAAATTAAGTAATTAACATAATATCTAGGTCTATGTTGTACGGAAGCCCCAGTGTTATATATTAGTAGTATTTGGATCAATCTATGAAAGAACAGAAAAGGCCTTTAAAATAACTAAATATCGTATTTTGTTTGTTTGGAGAAGGGAGAATATTTCTCTAACTTTGAGGAACTTTTTAATACAATCCTCAAATATGTTTGCAGAAAAAGCAATAAGGAATATTAGCACTGCATTTTCTAATGGCAAATTAATCAATAAATATATCTTAAAAGTTAAAAAACGATAGGTTTCTAGGCATTCAGAAAAATTATCATGATTTTTATACTCATTTGGCATTTTTTTCTTCTGTTTCCATCATGTTTTCTATAAAACATAGTGTAAAAGGCTTAAGCTATATAATTGCAAAACACCACAAATCACATATTATTTCATATCATGCTAATAAACATTGGTATCTAAGGCTGGATTCAAGAAAATCTCATTTCTCTAGAAACTGCATTATTTTTTTTTTTAATAGAGTAAAAATGTCAACTTTTATGAGACTTTTCTAAGACGTCGCAAAACATTAAATCTTATAAAGATGAACAAAATGAAAACTCTTGCGTGAAATAGGCCTATATTTATTTATTTTTTTCAAGCTTCATTTTGATGCATTTCAAATTCAATATCATGGGTAGTTTTTGGAGCTATCCTACCTGGCTGAGGATCGGATATTCCTTAAAAAGTCAATCTCTACCCAGAGTTATCGTTCGCTTCGCTACATAAGTGAAACGATAACTCTGGGTAGAGATTGTTAAAACAGTCTGTAAAAAGTGTCAAAATGGCACCAATATGTTTCCGTACAAATGCAGAGACCAGCGAAGCGTCAGCGCGGCCGCCATTACTGCACATCAAGGTTTGTCTTCGGTTTAGAATTATTAAATTCCATATCTGTATACTAGTGTATCAGTATAATTAATGTCAGTGAGTCATATTGCCATTTAATCTTATATTCACCCCAGCTCACCACTCAAACCTGGTGGATGTGGTGTGTGTGTGTGTGGGGGGGGGGGGGGGGGTTGTGACCAAACTTCCGCCAGAGTTCGTTTGTACCAAACCAAACTCTTCCAGGCAGGCATTATGGGATACGTTTTTCTCCCAAATTCTCGCGAACTACTTTTTTACGAGAAGACCGTGGTATCAGCAACACAGGTAAATATTCTTTTATAATGATGATTAACATCTTTGAAATTATACTTTTTTAACGTGTATATTACATGTTGATCAGAAAGAGTCACAAAAATCTCGTTTTTTTAACTCGAACTGTAAATGGGGTATTCAATTCGAATTTCCTCTAAATTAGTTTCGTTATCGCTGTCAAGGAAATGCAGCCGGGAAGTTATGCAACCGTTGGCATTTGTATGGGAATATTAATGTGCATTTTTGCCATGCTTCTGCTTTTGTTACTTAAGTTTTACTTTTATAATACAGATTAATAAAATCAATTGTATTATAGGTGGAAAACATCTCAGGTAATGTCAACGAAATCCATTTACAGGTTGGTATGTGTAATACATAGTCATATTGAAATTTTTTCAGTAATTTTTATTTAAGGTGAGAGACAATCACTGATCTTAACTTTTATTAATCCACAGATATAATTATGGGTGATTTAAGACATACTGACACACCACTGAAGACAATTTTTAGAGGACAGTCACTGGAACCGCATTGCTTTATCTGCTTACGCTCCCCCTCAGGGAAGTTAAGGAATATAATTACAAATGTAGCCCTCCCACTCCCAGAGAACAATGCGGTTTTACAGAATATAAAGAGGTGTTTAGACATTACATTTCATTCCATTTCATTTCAGGATTGCAAGATATGTTTATCTTGCAAGAGACAACTAGAAAACTGTGTACATTTTCAAAATATATTGAAGGAAGCCATCAACAGAAAATCTACCTCAACATGTTCAACAAAACGAATGGCATTTTCTCAGACACCTTCCTTGACACCTAGTTCTACCAAAAAAGAAAATACAGATGATGTGAACAATAAAGAGAATGTATCTATGAGGAAAACCCACTCTAAAAAGAAAAAGAAACTTCAGTTTTTGGAACTTGAAACAGATGTACCAATTGACACAAATAAATCTCAGATGTGTCATACAGATCATAACTATGGTAGTCTTGCATCACCATTGGACACAACACACCTGAATTCAGTTAAGGCAAAACAAGAGCTCTTCTGCAAGAAAGACGACAAAACCAACCAGAGTCAATGTTGTTCTGCAGATCATATTTTCAAAAACAAAGGACTACTGTCTGAAATTCAGAAATTGATTTTACTAGAAACTGAAGTCATTGCTGATAATTTATGTTCGTTGAACATTCCACCAGGTCCATCAGTCCTCAGAACATTACAACATCCATCTCGCTTAAAATCAGAGGATATTTTGCATAAAAGTCTGCTTGAATTTCAAAACTGTTTCCCATTTGTTTTTAGAGTTTTTCAAACATTAACATCCCCATTACATGCTGATCAACAGAAAACTGCTACTGGCAATTCCACAATTGCTATGATGTATGCTATGGCCATGAATAAGAGAAATAAAGATCTGTGTGCAATGCAGAAGATCAACACCTGTATTGCCCTTCGCTTCCATGCAGGTAATGATCTATTAGACATTTTTAACAAGACAGGTATAACCCTTTCAGCAGACAGTAAATACACATTTCTGGACAAAATGGGAGATTTGAACACAGAGGGTATTGTTCGCAGTATTCAGTCGGGAATAGGAGGAAAAGTGACAGTTGATAATATCGATGGAATGACCATAGCAAGGGATGTTAGACTCACTGGGGGTAATAAGCATTACCACTACACAGCCTCTACTTACTACCCTGATCGTGTAGATTTGAGGGATCTTGAGCAATGCATCACTTCCTCAGTTCCAGAGGAAATTAATTTTGATGTATTTTACCTCAGTGCGGAAGAAGAAAGCAAATTGAAGGAAATGTATGGTTATATGGTATGTATGTAATTTTCAATCCAGTGTAACTGTGTTTAATTCAGATATCAAAAGTAAAGAAGGGGAAAAAATTTCGTCTCTCATCTTTGTTATTCAATGTAACTATTCTATTAATACAAAAATTATAATAATGTCCTTTTGAATAATGGTAGAGGTACACATGGTAGATATACATTTGTTTCTCTATTGCTATTTATGTTCAAGGTTGGACGTACCTTAGTGAAGCATTTCAAATCTATGAAATGGATGCAGTCCTGCATTCCTTCACATATCCCTCATCCTTATAGTCAGCAGATGTCAAGCAAGTCACAGATATTTCCCCTTAAGGTAGTTTTTAAAGATTTTCAATTTTTTTTTATATATATTCCAATTTGTCATGAAGAAAAAAATTGTACTTTTTAAATATTATAAACTAGTATTGCCCGTAATGGTGTAAAGGTAAACATGCAGTAAGCCATTATTTTTTTTTTTCATATCAATTTGAGTTAGAACTTTTTCAGATAATTCTTCAAGACCCTAAATATTATGATGGGTGCATTGAAGTTCTCAATGAACTCAGTAAAGAGTTGGTGAATTCGTATGAAAAAGCCGGAAGAAGTAAAACAAATTGTTTATTCTGTTTTTAATTTATTTTTGTTCATATGTTTGTTACTGTTTCAGAAACTTAGACCCTCTTTTCTAGTAACTGTTATATGAGTTAATTTGTTCATTGTATGGATTGCAGTATTACACTTAATAGACTGTTTACAGTTTTATTAAATGTTTTTAGTACATTTAAAAATTAACTACCACTAAGTAAATATTCAACACACATGTCAACGAAAAAAATATAATAATGAATATAATAATCTAAATTGCTTGTAACTGACATTTTCCTGGAATGCAAAAGTACATGCATGGTTAAATTTTATAATAAGGTTTAGAAAACATGCTTATCACTAAATTGACATCAATTTTTAGGTCAGCATTCTTTATTTAAATATGTTTTATTGCTTGACAGGAGATGACTTTGAGACAGCTAAAATAATACTTGGAGGGGATCAACTTGTTAGAGTAAGGATGAGTGGAGCTAAAGATCTTCTTGCTGGTGCTCACACTGCAACAGAAAGAATGGAGATTTTTGATCCTGTTATAGAAGAGCTGTTTCATGTAGAACAGGATTTTCTTGAAGTAAGTTATACTGCTGTTTAATGTACTCAGTAATCAGTATATGTGAAGAGAAAAATATGTCTGTTGTGGTATTTAAATAACATTTATTAATAATGTAACAATTTTTAATTTAAGAAAATGTTCAAACGATTCTACTCAACAAAGACCTCACGACAGGAAGGAAGTCTAGCTTTCTTCAAATGTCAGCTGAGGAGGACCAACGTAAACGGTCAAGTAAAAGGAGGGTTCCAGGTATGTATCATGTCGTCCATGCTTATTCTCTACAGTCAAGTAGAATGACCCATGGCCAAGGGGGAGCAAAGATTCTGAATTTCCTAATTCATGTGAGTTGTGAAATTCATAGATTTAGACTCTACATGTACAAGTGTGGGCTTACCAGGTAGTTTGTCTTATATGGAAAATGCATTATATTTGGTTAAAAATAACTATTTTATTACTCATGGATATCTAGCAGGCAAACTGTGTGCATGACGGGAATGAACTTTTTATCAAAATTTTAAATTTACAACCCGTTGGTTCATGAATAAGGTCATAGGGAGGGCTTAATTGGTTGATATTGGTTTTAAATTGATGACTTGTCTGTTTTAACTTTTGCTATTTTATAATTTAATTTCTTTTGTAACACATCAATTAATTGGATAAAAAAATAATTTATATTGTAAAATCTGTGTTGCCTATGTCATAATGACTTACATTTAAAACATATTATTGGAGAAATTGTCTTTGTCTCTTAATTTGATGATGGAAAATTAAATTATAAGGACCAAGCTTCCTAAGTGATACTGGTATAACATGGGTTGGAACAGTTTATGCTTTTTATGCCCCGCCATGAATATGGCCGGGGCATATAGTGTTTGTCATGTCCGTCTTCCGTCCTTCCGTCCTTCCGTCCTTCTGTCCTTCCGTCCTTCCGTCACACTTTGCGTTTAGCTCTGTTTAAAGCTAAGTTTCAAAGAAACTATCCAAGATATTTTCATCAAACTTCATTTGCTGATAGATATTGATGAGAGCTATGGTTCATCTAGGGATGAACACTACCAGACTTGCTTCAGATGCTGGATCTGACTGACATTTTCAAGACGAGTGACAAGGTAAAAGTTTTAGGAACACGTCCATTCCTAAGGAACTATAAGCCCTTCTTGGACCAAACTTGCATGGATGATGCATCTACGGATGGACACTACCAGACTTGCTTCGGATGCTGGATCTGACCTACATTTTCCAGATGAGTGACCAGATTAAAGTTTTTAGAGCAGGTCCATTCCTAAGGAACTATAAGCCCTAATTGGACCAAACTTGCATGGATGATGCATCTAGGGATGGACACTACCAGACTTGCTTCGGATGCTGGATCTGACCTATATTTTCATTCCCAAGTAACTATAAGCCCTACCTGAACCAAACTTGCATGGATGATGCATCTAGGGATGGACACTACCAGACTTGCTTCGGATGCTGGATCTGACCTATATTTTCATTCCCAAGTAACTATAAGCCCTACCTGAACCAAACTTACATGGATGATGCATCTAGGGATGGACACTACCAGACTTGCTTCGGCTGCTGGATCTGACCTATATTTTCCTTCCCTAATAACTGTTAGCCCTGCCTTAACCAACCTTGCATGGATGATGCATCTAGCGATGGAAACTACCAGACTTGCTTCAGATGCTGGATCTGACCTATATTTTTATTCCCAAGTACCTATAAGCCCTACCTGAACCAAACTTGCATGAATGATGCATCTAGGGATGGACACTACCAGACTTGCTTCGGATGCTGGATCTGACCTAAATTTTCATTCCCAAGTAACTATAAGCCCTACCTGAACCAAACTTGCATGGATGATGCATCTACGGATGGACACCACCAAACTTGCTTCGGATGCTGAATCTGACCTATATTTTCATTCCTTAGTAACTATAAGCCCTACCTGAACGAAACTTATGTGAATGATGCATCTAGGGATGGACACTACCAGACTTGCTTCGGATCCTGGATCTGACCTATATTTTCATTTCCAAGTAACTATAAGCCCTACCTGAACCAAACTTGCATGGATGATGCATCTAGGGATGGACACTACCAGACTTGCTTCGGATGCTGGATCTGACTTATATTTTTATTCCCAAGTAACTATAAGTCCTACCTGAACCAAACTTGCATGGATGATGCATCTAGGGATGGACACTACCTGACTTGCTTCGGATGCTGGATCTGACCTATATTTTCATTCCCAAGTATCTATAAGCCCTACCAGAACCAAACTTGCATGGATGATGCATCTAGGGATGGACACTACCAGACTTGCTTTGGATGCTGGATCTGACCTATGTTTTCCAAACAAGCAATTCAGCTGCATCACTATTCTAGATATTCAGATCAAATTTTAAACACATACATATTTTCATGTTGCCTTACTGATATATCCTCGGCGGGGCATTCATGTCCTATGGACATATTTCTAGTTTTCTATAAATCGCCTAGTGTAAACTGTCCTAACACAAGTTATATACATGAAATATAACTTGGGTAGCTATTAAATTCATTCCTTAAGAGGTTTTGATATTTTTAGGCACACAGTGATTTCCTACACACAGTTGGTGAGGCCCTACTGATTCAGCTATGTATGAAGAAATTTTCAATGGACAGCTTAGAGAGTGAGCCTGTTATTCCAAATTTAAGTCTGCCAGAAAACATCAGAAACACACACATTAAAACAAGAGAACCTCTCTTTTGGAAGGTTGTTAAAGAAATTGTGAATGAAATATTCATGGAATTTCATAACCCAGGATGTTTACCTCCAGTGCAATTGGATTTTGGTGGTAGTTCTGTGATAATTCCCAGAGAACAACTGTGCAAAAATGGCTATGTTGATGTGAAAGTGCCATCTGGGGAAGTTTTGAGAGTTTTTAATTCACATGAAACCACAGATGACATACAGAACTACTCTTTACAATTACTGATGTGGTATATCCATTTTTGTGAATTTCAGGATGGCATACGAGAAGGAGACCCGTTCAGGACCAACATTAACTTAAAAAGAATGATTCCCTTCTTTTACAGTCATTCAGATCGATCCAAATATGCAGTTGAGTGCATAGATTATATCCTGAAAACAGAAGTTCTATTACCACAGCACACAGCTATGAGAGTGAGACTCGGTAGTTTTGTTAACCCACATGGAAAAAAAGGAGGAAATAAGCCAGCTGACATGCAACAAGAAAATAACATTCTTGTTCTCAAAGATGTTATAAAAGGTTTAGGAGCCAACAAAACAACAAAAGCCATGGAACGTGCATCTGCAGCAGCTCCTGTTGTGGCAGAAACTGTAGAAAATTATATGAACAGTATTGGGTGTGTATCAAGGAGTGGAAAACACAATACAAAAGACAATTTGGAAGACGTGAAACTTCTAGTCCAACTTTTAAGTCGATTAGACCCATTTAGTGTGATTGATAACCGCAAGATGAATTTTTACAGTGGTTTCAGGAAAAATCCATTCTCAGCGATATCTTCAGATTTTAACTCCCATCTTTTCAAAATAGTTGAGCGCTTGAAAAGATGTCAGAACATTGACCTTGAATACTACAACCAGTAACAATCATAGGTGTCACTGTGGGGATGAGAAGGGAGGGGGGAGTAAATTGTGTCTGATTGCAGTGTATGATTGCTGTTTGTATTATGTCAAAATAATGTTATCATATTTTTGGATGTTTCATGTATTTTAGCTCACTTGAGCTATTAAAAGGCTCAAGTGTCACAGCTTTTTTTTTTTATCAAAATTGTCTGTTAAAATCATTATCTTATTTTTATTATCCTATTTTTATCACTCTAGAATAATTCTGTCGATTTCAACCTCCATAAAGTATCTTTTGGACAACACACTTTTTAAGGGGAGATAATTTAAAACTAGTAATTTTAATAGCATCTTCTAAACATCTTTTTCTCAGGAATCGCTAAGATAGGGGAAAAAAAATGAAAACTCGTGTGGAAGCTTCATTCATAGTGTAGATTCAAGTTGGGTGGGGCCGTGAAGGTCAATCAGTGTAGCATAGGAATATAAAGGAAGAATCTTAAGAAATTGGAAAAGCAATGATTAGTCATATTTATGGGGATAAATCCTCAAATATTGTTGATTCAAGTTTATAGGAAAAATCTTTTTAAATTTTCTCAAGGCTAGCAAAGTTATGATAAGTGAATTTTACTGTCAAGAGTGTTTTATTAGTGTAGATTCAAGTTGATTCAAATGACCCTCAAAGGTAGAATGGCAATGGCCCACGCTGTTATCAAAACTTTACATGTGAAAACACAATAGGGCTGATTGATTCAGGAGAGAAATGTGGCCAATGGGCCTCTTTGTTATATGTGTTTAATTGGAAGATAATTTGTAGTGAAAGAATATATTTCAACTGAAACTCCATAACAAATGTGCCCGAGTAGTTGAATTCTTTTCATATATTAAAAATCATATAAAAATCAAATGTTTCATTTTTACATCACCAAGTCAAGGTCTTTCATGTACATGCAAGTGTTTACTAGGCGGATAGATCACACCATCCTTTTACAGTACAATTGTAGTAACGAGAAGTGTGATCTGGTAATAGGTCCTGTAATACTGGGAATGAACTTAAATAATGAAGTTGTGCTCACTAGGGAATACCATGACACAATGTTACAATTCGCAGTCAGAGCAACAACATAAAATTTCACATACATCACAGCATTTGCATTTTTTGTTTCCCACATCTGGTTTAAAATCTAGATGCTTTAACAACTGCACACGCAAACAGGTGTCTGTACTAACAGCGTATTGGCGCATGGAATTTTGCAGTCCGGGTCTGTTGTTCCTAACATCTGTTTTATTGACATACAAAACTGCTTCGGCAGGTAACCCATCTCGCCCTGCACGACCAGTTTCTTGCAAGTATTTCTCTATGCTGGTAGGACATTTAAAATGAATGACCTTTCGAACCGCAGGTGCATGCAGACCTATCCCAAGGGCTACCGTTGCCAGAACTACTCTAATTATTGGATCAGATTTGCCCAGTTCCCTTATAATAAAATTTTTCATATTCTCTGGATAATGGGTATGGTACTGTGCATAACACCTGTTCTCAGGAGACTCAATCCCTAACTTGTTCTCCAAAAATCTATAGCCATACCTAATTGACTCCAGATCAGTGTAAATGAAAGTGAGAGGATAATGTCTTCTGTCCTTTTGTAGACCTGTCACAATATCTCCTAAAATTTTGTCAAGGTCGTCTTCTTGTCGCATGCTGGGTAGTCGTTGGTATTTGTAATACTTGATGTTTGGTCTGTCTGGATTCTTGGAAATGAAAGTGGGATTCCTTAAACCAAGGTTTTTTACCAGCTTTTCCTTTGTCGATTGTGATGCTGTTGCTGTAAAAAGGGACACAGGTACTCGAGGGAATATACCCAGCAATTCTTGTATCCTAGCAAAGTCCTTTCGAAAGTCTTCACCCCTTAAAACAAATAACAAAAAGGCCAAGCTTAAAAAAATCTTTGTTTGCAGTTGCCAACCTATAATTTTTAGACTGGGTAGGTATGTAGGCATTCTTTATTTTTAAATTGTCTTCAGATTTTTGTTAGATAACAAATAATAGAGCTTTTCAAAGGCCTACTAAAGATGAATAAGTTGCACTATTGTTTTAAACTACTGATTGATAAAAACAAAAGTCAAATACTGAAAATTAGATAGTTTCAATATCCTGAAAAATCGAAAAAAATAATTTACTAAATGGCTAAAAAAAAAAGTTTGCATCAGGTGGCCTTTCATTGGGTCAGTAGGCAACTGCAAACAAATTTTTTTTTATTTTAGGCCTTACAATTTTAAAATAGTTTATTTAAAGGAGGGGGAGGGGGGCACTTTAAATGAAGAAAAGTTTTGGAGTTACAATCACTGCTCACCTAAGCTAAGAGCTCAAGTAAACTTTTCTGATCATATTTTGTCTATCTGTCTTTCCATAAACATTTCACATTTTTGTTTCTTCAGAACCGTAAGGCCCGAATTTTTAACCCAACTTGTTACAAAGCATCCTTAAGTAAAGTGGACTCAAGCCTGTTCTAATGAATGGTCATGCTCTTTTGCAAAGGGAGATAATTAAGAATAAATAAATTGTTGGCATTATTTAAATTTGTCAAAAACCACTTTCTACAAAAGTGGTAACTTCACTAAATATGTAGATTCAAGTTTGCTCAAATCATGACCCCCTCAGGGGAGCCACAGTGCCAGTGGGCATCAAATTTGGAACATTTTTATGGAAAATATCTTCTACTGAACAACAAAGCCTTGATAAGTCTCATAATCTTCAAGGAGTGCAGATTAATGTGGTCACATCATGACACATGGATTGGCCGGCTGTATGGAATGGATTTTCGTAAGAATAAATAGGGGGGAAAAACATGCTGATAAACATTGATATTCATATTGACTCAGGTGAGCCTTTTGGCCTATGGGCCTCTTGTTCTCTTAATATACTGTAAATGTATTATATTTAGCGTGTACAATATTTGGCAGAAATTGAATTTTGAATAAATTAGCGTAGGTTTGATTTAGCACATTTCTTCACATTCTTATTTATGTGTATAAGTGGAAGACATCTAGTGTTGTACTTGATTTAGTTGTTGTTGAGTTCCGCCAAAGCTGCTAAAAAGAATACACAGCCAAATGTAATACGTTTACAGTATATCATACCATTCTTGTATCATGTGTGCTTCATCTATGCAGATACCACACACGTGATCCTGCAAAGCTTGGCTTTGTAGAATTTTCCTTCCTTCTCTTGAAGAAAGGAATGCCTCTGGATGGGCATAAATAAGGCGGAATTTTCCAGCTGCCACTTCTTCTGGAGAAACTTTCATCAGCAACTTCCCAACATCTTCATCAGTTTCATCATCAATACTGCTGTCCTCTCTATCCTCACTTTCATCCTCAATATCTACAGGATTACAGAACTTAATGTGCTCATTATTATTTGTGTGTAACTGCTATAAAGAAATTTTTTTATGCCCACTTACTTACGAAGAGTTATCACAAAGAAAAAAAAATATAAAAATATATTTAGTATATATCTTGGCCATTTGAATTTAGTACAAATGATTCTTTTCGTTAGTTGCACTTCAGACTGCCCCCAGGATTTGAACCTGGACTTCCTCAATGCCGGCAAATGCTTGAAGCATGAGGTGTGCTGACCATTTACACTAAGACAATCTGTAAAGTACTATATGTATCCACAACAAATAAAAAAAATCATGTGTACGTAATTAAGGAATTATGTAATTGAGGAATTATTTGGAAATGTGAAAGGAAACAGAAGCTACGAACTTAAGGTCAGGTCTAAATTGTTGAAGAAACTGTGACTTGAAGGTTTATTTCAAGGTTATAAATACCATATGCTTAATATAAAGTCTCTCTTACTTCATTAAACAGTGATTTATATATTCAAAATATTTGTTCATTTAGGTTCTATAGTGAGGTATTTGCATATATTCTATCAAAATATGTTAGGGGGTGCTTTTATCAAAAGCAGGGGACACTTTGACCAAAATCAGGAGGCATTTTGACTATTTAATTAGGGACAGTAAAAGAATTTTGCTTTGACCAAAATTAGGGGATGCTTTGACTAAAATCAAGGGACACTTAGACGAACATTTGGGGACAGTTTTTTTTCTATAAAAAATATGTTAGGGGGCACTTTGACCAAATTAAGTTAAGGGGCGCTTTGACTAAAATCAGGGGACGCTTTGACCAATATGTGGGGGCGGTATTTTTTTCTAAAAAAATATGTTAGGTGGCTCTTTGACCAAAATTACGGGGCACTTTGACCAAGATCAGAGGACGCTTTGACCGGGACGTTTTTATACGGGGGCTCTTTGACTGGCTCCCACATGTTCATGTATGGTTTATTAATCATTTTAATTGATACTTGATAGTTTTAATTATAGAGATGTAATGGTCAGGGCTGTGGGTTTCAATGATAAATAATGTGATAAACTGTGATGATAAATATTGTCATACAGGTCATTAATTAGTCATTAGAAATGTTAGAAACATTAATGAGTAACAGATTAAAAATGTAATACCCGTCCCCAATGCAGGTTTCAACATGTAGGTGGAACCATCTCTTCCCGTTATATCTAGGAAACAGGCTGGAATGCCGCTTTCGCATAGTTTCCTAACCTGGTCCTTCATAATCGCATTCAATGGCGATATCACAAGGACAACTGCCATGGGATCGTCGGTAATAAATGGCATCAGCTGAAAAATGACACTTTTCCCAAAACCAGTTGGTAGTAAACATACAAGGTCCTTCGATTCTGTAAAAGCACGAAGTGCTGATATCTGTTCTGGTTTTAATTCATACGTTATCCCTAACTTCTGTTTAGCACTAGTTAATCTGGCTACATCCATTTTCGTTGTTGTTGAAGTGAAAGTAGAGAAAATAATAATATTTGAAAAATAATTTATTTCTGGTTTTTTGTTATTTCTTACATGTCATTTTAATATATATTCTAAATAAAACTTGAATCTTCATTCATATTTATGAAGTTTTTTGAGTTTTATTACGTAAAAATTGGGGTGATAACTTCGCACTTATTCTTTCCTGTTATTCGGCCGCGTTGTAATCGCGGATGTTTATTATCCCGATTTGGTATGCGTTATGCGTTAAATGGTAGTGTCTCTGTGTGCGGAGACGCAGAGGACTATGGGTAGTATGGGGTTGTGACCAGAAAAGATATAAAGGATTAATAAATCGGTTTTGTTGTTTTAAAAAAATATTATTTTATAAATTATACTTGAAATGGCAGTTTTAGGGTCGGGAATACTCGGGATAGGGGCTCATGATCGAGATCACAGCGGCACACAAAAAAATTAAAATATTTTGATTTCTTTATTCATTGATTCACCCAGGGACCTTAATATACTAGGGGAAAGTGTTAATGCTTTTTCGGAAATACTTGGCATTTACCGCTAAATATAGGCATGTTATACACCGTTCGATGCAGAAAACCTTCCGCTACTTATTTTCGTGGTACATCGGATCTTTTCGTGATATAATATCACAATTAAACGTATTTAAATAGTACCAGGTAGAAGGTTGTAACTTCGGACAGTGGTGTTGTAACTTCGGACACACAGTGTTATAAAGTCGGACAGTGAGTAAAAGAGGTATTGCTTGCTGCTGTGTCGCACAATTACACGATGGTCGTGCTAATTGCAGCAGGGAACTTCGACTAGCTTTTGTCGGGGTTTATGAATTAAAATTTAAACATATTTTTCAGTAGAAAAAATTAATATATTTGCCTCAAAAATTATAATTAGCGTGAACAATATGTAGGATAAATATGTGTAGCAAACTGTAGCAAAAACATCTATGATTTTCTCATCGCCATTTATGATATGCAGATATATAATTAAATTATATTATTTATTACTTGCTTCATTTTTGTTTCTTGGGTTTCTCTTTTTTTTTTTCCTTTAAAAAAGAAATTAATTAAATAAATTGATTAAAACAATGATATGAACACTGAAATGTTTTACATCATAGTACTAGACTAGTATATCGCAGTCAAAAATTCTAAGGTTTTAAAATGAAAAAAGAAGACATTTAAATGAGAAATCACGCTTCAGATGCTAAATATTCATATATATTTTCTCAATGTCAGATATTGCTTGCAATGACACCGAGAAATAAAACATGATACTGAGGTGTTTAAAAAGAAAAAAAAAAACATCTGAATATCTTTTGCCAGGTAGACTAGACCTACCAAGTACATGTGTTAATACATGTTTAACATCTACAGAACCTTGTGGTCAGGTAAATTTATGTATAACCATGAGTCAAAGTACGGTTGCAATTTTAATTTATTAATTCCAGTCGACTTTTTTTATATCATTATGGGGTGGCGGTTTTTTTTTGTGGAACTGTAATACATAAAAAAAATGTTATGTACATGTATAGTGTCTGGGAAACCCATTGCAAATGAACATCTAAATGACATTACGTTTTTATTATTTAAAACAATAAATTGAATTACATGAAGGGGATACGTTTATATCATTCATTCATTTTTTTTTATTTAATGACATAAACTTTATGAGTACAAGGCTTGAAAAATATTGAGTACTGAACACCTGTACAGGTATGTTACACTGGCAGACCAGTCACCTAGATCTAGAGTCGATCTTCTCTCTCTCTCTCTTTGTCACCCCCCCCCCTCTTTTTTTTGAATGAAAAAAATAACATAATCTTTTTAATTGTTCATTTTGAATATTTTTTATTAAAGAACCCAATTTATTATTATTAATACAGTTTTATCAAAAAATAAAAAAGGTCTAATGGATCAAATTTTAGTCACGTTTTCTGTCTCTCAGAGAGGTGTTGTAATTCCGGACACCTCAATTTCAGCTAATTATTTCCTTTTACTAGGTAATGCTGCATAAAATATTGAAGAAAATTATTATTTAAGTAGAATTTATTCACATTTATCATGTTTATAATTTTATATAAGTAATATTTAGCAGAAAACCAATTATTTCAACTGTGCGCCCATTTTGCCTGTCAAACTGAAAGTAGACGGATATTAGCGTCATCCACAGCGTAGTCGGTGAAGGTCATTTATTTATGGCAATAAGTCGCACCTGAGTTGACACACGCAAAGAAAGTTTTTGTAAACCATTTTGTAAATATATTATATACAGAAGTAAGTTTTTATATCATAATAAATAACAAAAGAGGAATAATTATAAAGCTCTTTATTGACTGTCCGAAATTACACACCCGTCCGAAATAGCAACACTTTCCCCTATAGTTAGCATTTAGGTCCCTGATTCACCAAACATGTTGGCATACAACCATGTTACATACATAAAGACAAATAATAAAATACAAACATGCATACATGCAAGTGGCCATCAGTGAAGTCAACCATGTCAACTATGCAGTGGTTTACTAGATTTATTATATTGTATGTATATTTTGGACACAAAAGGGGGAGGTGCCACAGCCCCCAAACCCCCACCCCTCCCCAAAATCCGCTTGTGCTGTATACATGTTATATAATTAGGCCTCAAAATTACATGATTTTCCTTCAAGAATGATATGGTTGTGTGCAGAATTGATTTAAACATGTTAACTAAGACATTCATTCAAAGTATGAACATGGATGGCTATTAACAGTAAATTGAAAACTTGACATTTTTCTTTGAAGATTGAGTCATGGACCCCCGTACCAGTGCCCAGGACATGATGCAATGTGACCTGTGTGAGACCGCTGTGATACAGATGCACTGTGATACATGTTTTGTCAACCTGTGTAAGGCCTGTGTGGGAGAACACTTTTCTGCTGATCTCTCAAAACCTCATAAAATTGTTCACTTTAAGAACAAAAATAAGTCTACTCTTATTCACCCCAGATGCACGTCTCATGAAGAAGAAACATGTAAGATATTCTGTACCCATTGTGATGTTCCTATCTGTACTATTTGCCTTGCCTCGGATCAACATCTCGGACATAAACTAGCAAGGATCCTGGAAATTCGAGACAAGAAAAGGGATAAACTCATCAAAGAACAAACTGAACTGAAAGAAAAGATTTATCCAAACTACCAGGTCATTGCCACTGATGTACAAAACAGAATGAGTCAGTTAGAAAAGGAATATGGAGATCTCTCAACAGCCATAACAAAACATGGAGAGGACTGGCACAGAGAAATTGACAAACATGTCAAGAAACTTAAAGCTGAAGTTGATGAGATGAAAAACACACAGTTACAAACTCTACAGAATTATCTGGATGGAATAAACAAGACAATGTCTGACATCAAGGATGAAATCAATTCAGTTGATAGTGTTCTGGAATCTACAGATATTTCAAGCCTATTCAGTGTGCCTTCCACCCTAGATAGGTATACAAACCTTCCAAGAAAAATTACAGTCACCATTCCTAAATTCATCCCAAAGAAATTGCAGGCAGACCAACTGTTTAGTCTGGAAACAATTTCGTTAAAATCAGATGAACATGACGACAGCATGAAGACAACTCAGAAATCACCAGAAGCTGTATCCTCTCCTCCAGTCAAACAGCTGCTTGATGAACCAGAGACTGTCACCACCATACACACTGGATATACAGGTATATTTAATGGACTTTACAATGTTGCCTGTCTGAGTGATGAAGAAATCTGGACAAGAGGAAATGACAGAACCATGAAACTCTACAGCATCAATCAGGGATCACTACTCAAGCCAATCACAACCAAGTCAGGGAACGATCCAACTGACATAGCAGTGATAAAAAGTGGAGACCTAGTTTATACTGATTACCATGATAGAACTGTGAACATTGTGAAGAAGATAGAGGAGGTGATCAGACTACAGAACTGGAGACCTCGCGGTGTCTGTAGTACCTTCTCTGATGACCTCCTGGTTACCATGGAAAGTGATGACTACAAACAATCAAAAGTTGTCCGTTACTCTGGCTCCACAGAGAAACAAACCATTCAGTTTGATGATAAAGGTAAACCCCTCTATTCATCTGGTCGCTATAACACTTACTACATTAATGAAAACAGGAACCTGGATATCTGTGTGTCTGACTGTGGAGCAGTAGTGGTGGTCAATCAGGCCGGGAAACTGAGATTCAGGTACACTTTGAATTGAACATATTTTACTGACAAAGTCAAAAGGATAAGACAAAAATGTTCTTCAACTCAGATAGTCTTCTCCTTATACAGAATTATATAAAATTGTCTATAATCATGATAATAAAGTACAATTATTTTCAGTAACATATCAATTAGTATTGTCAAAGACTTAACAATTCTATACATTCATGATATATATACAGTACTAGTATACAAAAATTATATTTCTTTTGTAAATTCTTCTTAAAAAAGTATGAATAAACTTTTAAAATTTCTATATTTTGTTGATCAAATTCAGGTACACTGGACATACTCCTGCTCCAAAGAACCAACCATTCAGTCCACAAGGAATCACCACAGACAGTCAGAGTCACATCCTTACAGCTGATTATAACAATGACTGTATCCATATCATAGACAAGGACGGACAGTTCCTCCGTTACATAGACTGTGGACTGAGTAAACCCTGGGGACTGTGTGTAGATACAAATGACAATCTGTTTGTTGCTCAGTATGGAAACAGACAAGTGAAGAAAATCAAGTATCTGCAGTGACTGAGTGAACCCAGGGACTGTGTACCGATACAAAATTTAATGACAATCTGTTACTCAAAGGAGTAATAGACAAGTAATGAAAATCAAGTACCGAGAAGTAATGCAAGTGACGTTATGTAGCAGTTTAATATTTACATAGGCCACAGAATATTTATCTCTAGAATAACAATACATGTTTGTTACATGATTTTAAACCATTATACATGTTGTATGTGTGAAAGATAATTTTAGATAAATACTTCACCGGTGAAAATATGTATTTGTACTTTCTTAAACAAATTGCCCACAAAACCACTACCAAGTAACTATAAAGATTTTTGTTCATTGTCTAACATGTCTAAAGCTGGGATTTTTAAACGATTTCTTTTACATTTATTTTATTTATTTAGTTGAAATATTTTTCTCATTTTAAATTCTTATCATACTTTTACCATCATCAAAAATAGGCATTATTTGTTTCAATTTCCATCAAACTTTTTAATTTTTTTTAATGAATTAATTTTTTTTATTGTCTTTTGTTTTTTTTAGCTCACCTGAGCCGAAGGCTCAGGTAAGCTTTTCTGATCACATTTTGTCCGGCGTCCGTCTGTCTGTCTGTCCGTAAACTTTTCACATTTTGACTTCTTCTCAAGAACCGCTAGGCCAATTTCAACCAAACTTGCCACCATCCTTGGGTAAAGGGGATTCAAGTTTGTTCAAATGAAGGGCCACGCCCTTTTCCAAGGGGAGATAATTATGAATTAGAGAAAAATTAATGGCATTTTTAAAAAATCTTCTTCTCAAGAACCACTTGGCCAGGAAAGATGAAACTCATGTGGAATCATCCTTAGGTAGTGTAGATTCAAGTTTGTTCAAATCATGACCCCCGGGGCTAGGGTGGGGTCAAAATGTCCGACCCAAGGTTTACATAGAAATATATAGGAAAAATCTTTATAAATCTTCTTCTCAAGAACCACTGGGCCAGGAAAGATGAAACTCATGTGGAATCATCCTCAGGTAGTGTAGATTCAAGTTTGTTCAAATCATGACCCCCGGGGCTAGGGTGGGGCCATAATGGCCAACCCAAGTTTTACATAGGAATATATAGGATAAATCTTTAAAATGAAGGCTCAAGTGAGCTTTTCTGATCACATTTTGTCCGGCGTCAGTCTGTCCGTCTGTCCGTCTGTCTGTCGGTAAACTTTTCATATTTTCGACTTCTTCTCAAGAACCACTGGGCCAATTTCAACCAAACTTGCCACAAAGTATCCTTGGGTGAAGGGGATTCAAGTTTGTTCAAATGAAGGGCCAGGCCCTTATTCAAGGGGAGATAATTGGGAATTAATGAAAATTTAGTGGTATATTTTAAAAATCTTCTTCTCAAGAACCACTGTGCCAGGAAAGATGAAACTTATGGGGAAACATCCTCAGGTAGTGTAGATTCAAGTTTGTTCAAATCATGACCCCCGGGGGTAGGGCGGGGCCAAAATGGCCTACCAAAGTTTTACATAGAAATATATAGGAAAATTCTTTAAAAATCTTCTTCTCAAGAATGACAAAGCCATAATTCATCATATTTATATGGAAGCATGCTCAGGTAGTGTAGATTCAAGTTTGTTCAAATCATAACCCCCGGGGGTAGGGCGGGGCCAAAATGGCCGACCAAAGTTTTACATAGAAATATATAGGAAAATTCTTTAAAAATCTTCTTCTCAAGAATGACAAAGCCATAATTCATCATATTTATTATGGAAGGGAATTACCGCCAAAAGTCTATGTATCTTGCTTTTATTCTTATTCTGCCTACTTCTTTATGCTTTGTTATTATTGTAATTATATGTCACTTTATTGTTGTCATATTTGTCTTTATTACATTTCACTTTGACTTTTATCCTTCTTCATTTCATCCTTACTTCTATGTTTCTTTATTCTTGTTAAGTCATTTTATTTTATTTTTAAATTGATACAATATCTTAAATGATTATCTCTATTACGAACGTTAACTCAATCACGCAAACAATGAAGCATATTCAATGAAGACGAATACGAGTTGTCCTAATTTAGTGCGGCATTATAACGCTAGGTGGCAGGGGTGTTCGCTAAGAGTGTTGGTAAAATTAGGTAAGCAAACCGGGCCGTGGTTATTCGAGTTTTTTTTTCCAATTTTCTGCCTTAATACTTTATCGATCGAACTTAAATTTTCAAATGAATGATGTTTGTTATTAGTTCAGGTATGTACCCGATATATGTACATGCCATTCCCTCGAAAGTCCTAGATGGTAAGATTTCCCTTTGAAGTGAAACATAGTGATGCTAAGTATATAGGACAAATTTGCAGCTCTCCATCGGCAAAGTGGCTAACTTTTTTCAAGAACAACTATTTTTCAATTCCAATTTTTTTGGGGAAAAATTCTTTTATATCCACTGTGGTGAAATGTGTGTGTGTGTGTGGGGGGGGTAATCTTCCTTTAAGTAAACATTTTCTATTGTAAAGGTAATGTCGGGGGGAAAAGTGGGAGGAGAGTCCTCCCCCCTGCCCCCCCCCCCCCCCCCCTGATACTACGTCCCTGTCTTACCCTTTTTGTTGCAGTACTTATAGTCAATTTATATATTAAAAGTCATGTACTTATTGGTATGAGTAAAATTTAGCACTGTAAAAAAGTTGACGACCCCTCCCCCCTCACCACCACCAAACAGAATTTCCGAGTTCTAAGATTTTTTTTAGCTCTCCTGGCTGATCACAAATACGATGCGTACTAAAGATATTTCTTTCTTTATTGAAAATTAAGTGCTATTTTAATAAGAAATATTAACGCTGAAAATAAGAACCAGGGAGTTTCTAGTATGTCTGGATGCATGAAGCCTAGTTCTTACTTCGCCTACTATGCACGGATCTAGAGGGGGATGGGGTGTAAGGACCCCCTGGAATTTACAAGGTTTAAAAATGTATATACTAAAGCAAGGAAAAAAGTTAAACGTACGCTCCCTTCGCAATTGGATTTTGACGTTTGGGCGAGTTTAGGTTTTTTTTATGCTCGTCAAGTAATTTCTGGGATTGGAATTTTTGTTTTTGGGCTGGGGTGCCCCCCCCCCCCCCCCCCCCCCCCCCCCCCCGCTGGAAAAAAAATTTGGATCCGCGCCTGCCTACCCATATTAACGCTCCTCACTCCTTTGCAAAGCCCTGCCCCTAGAATCACGCACATGAGCAGTTACTATCTGTCATGAAATAAACTTCAGTACAGTGGAAGGTTCTGAAAAACAACCCAATTTATGAGGGTTAACTAGTATCAAAATATTGAACATTTTTATATCAATTAAACTAGAATTCAATTATCCAACAAATAACTTTAATGGAGTTATATTTTACAGGCGAGATAACAGTAACGTAGCATTGTAAGTTTTTGAAAGTGGGGAGGGGGCAACAAGAGAATAAATATTAAAGTACCCGGCTGAAAACTTGACAAGCGCAAAAAAAACTTGAAAATACATACTAGGCGTCGGAACCGTGGAGGGGTTGGACTTAGTCCCCACTTTTTTTCCAGAGATAGACTTAGTACAGACGTTCCTGCATAGGTTATAAACCCCCCCCCACTTGCCATGGGCACGATGCAGTATAGGTTTAAAATGGGGAAAGTGGTGGTGTATGGGAAAAAAACCTTTGGCACTGGCGTTCGAACCTACCCCCCCCCCCCCCCCCCTCACCCACCCCCACGAAATTGAATATTTGAGTTCGGAAAATGGACATTTCTTTTTTTTTTTTTTTTTTTTGCTTGTCAGGTTTTTTTTTTTGATGGTCTTAGAAAATTCTTACACTTAGCCCCCCCCCCCCACTTTCAATTTGCTTCCGATGCCAATGAAATCCTATTTCGAAGGCGGGGTGAGTTTTGGCTTAGATTTAACTTTTTCTATAGAGTCAAATTTAAATTTTCTACCTACTATACGTACTACATTAACCA